GCTTCTATGAAATTATTTTCTATCGTTACATGTTATTAATTTTCCCATCAAAAATGTTCTATTACACGTATGAAGATTTCTAATTTATATGTACTGTAATCATTACTATATGATTATACAAAACCATTAAAACATTCCTTCGAATGTCATGAGAGTAGAAAAATAATTTTCGGTCCCTTGCATACAAATGGTTTTAATAAGAATTTTCAATATTTTCAAATAAAATAGTCAAATTTGTCATTCTTAATTATTTTCAAAGAGAACTTGACTTTGATATTCACTTTCACTTAATTTTTTCTCATTGACTTTAACATTTACTTTCATTTTAATTTTCACTTTGACTTTCAAAGTTACAATGAGAAAAAAAATTTATTTGATTCAAATATAACCGAATACTTGTCTATTATCAAATAAATATTTACTTGAAAAAAATATTTATTTAATTCAAGTAAATATTTAATTTATTGTCAACAAGTAAAGTAAAAAAAAAAGTTGTAAAAAGTCAAGTAATGGATTATTATAATCAAATAAATTTTTTTTAGTGTAATTATCTAATAATTATAAAAATAATTATTATTTAATTATATTAACTTTTTTTATGTATACTCAAGCGATAAATGGGAATTAATTGTTCTGCAGCTGCAGAACAATTAAAGAAAGTCTCGACGCGATTATCTAGTTATTGGATAAAGTTCCTGCGTTCAGAAGTTGCAAATTGAATTTGAAAGAAAAGTAATTAGAAAAGCTTATTATATAATGTTAATAAGCTTTACAAAAATATGGAAGTTTTCAATTATTTATAAAACGAACGAAATTCATTTTGAACTTTTATTTGTTTTCCAAATATTATTTTCGAAATTTTAATATTTTCAATATTTTAATAAATAAATTTTACTAATTGAAAATTAGTAATTAGTAAAAATAATTAAAAATTTCAAATTTGACCATTTGTTTCAAATATTCCAATTCTAGAAAAATGTTTTCTATAAATAATGCGGCATTTACGAAAAGCGTAGTGCGTGTTTCAAAAAATCCCTCATACTACCAAATGATAAATTCTAACATCTATTGTACGTTTTGAATGGATAATTTAAAAATAAGAATTTTATAATTTCATGTCTATTCTTATTTATGTTATTGTATTATTTATATATTTATATATCTATATCTTACTTGGAAAGAGTAGAAACAGATTTTTGGGGAGGAAGAATATTTGACTAACAGACACATTTAAAACTAAAACTGGCTCAAAAATTGGAAGAGACTGATAATTTTTTTTCATTTTTTATTAGCTGAATACGTATATTATTCAGCTTGTAGAAATTTTTCTAGTTTTTTTAAAATTAAAATAGAGTTTCAACAAGGGCCTGTTTTTGAATTTGAATTTTAGAATACAAGAATTTTGAACTTTTAAAGAAAATGGTTAAATTTTATTTTTCTAAAAGTTAGTATAAGTTTTTACTAATTTCAATTAGGAATGAAATTTTTAACTTGCAAAGAAAATTATTAAATTTTACGCCAATTTTTGCTTCATTTGAATTAGTTTAACAATATTTTTTAAAGTGAAGGCGCTTGTTAAAACCCTACAGGGCAAAGTGGATCAATTTCTATGTGCTCTTTGCAGTTGACAACATTTATGATCAATGATTTAGAAGAAAAAATATTTTTCCAAGTTTTTATAAACTTTTGTATAAAAGAAATTTTTAACAAAGCTTCCTGATTCACCTTCTCTAAAAAAAAAAGCATTGAAAAGAAATATTATTTTCATTGGGAAAATTTAATTTTTATTTTATTTGATCATTGATCATAAACGTTTTGTGAACTTATTTTACACCCACGCGAAAGTGCCGCAATCTACATACACATTAAATCCAAAAATTCTAAAATTGATTCTGAAAAATGAAACATTAAAATTCAAACACGTTGTGTCCAAATATACATTGTTTCGGTCGAATACAACTTCGACATATATTCACAGTCCCTTCCCGCACATTTATATCTATCGGTCTACATCTCCGCTGATGCGTAACAAAGAAAGAAGTTCGTCGGCGACTCCTCGAAATAACTTTTATAATAATAAAACTTTTTCCAATAACTTATTATTATTTATCGAATTTAAAAACCCTACTATAATTTCAAAAGGAAACAATAAAATTATGTTTGCAAAATATAAAAACTTAATGACCAATATAATAATATTAATTATTAAATAATATTCACTATATATAATTAAAAAAAACTTTCACCAAAAAAAATAATATTTAACTGAAAATAGAACATATTTTTAAAATTCCCTAACCCATTTTTTCTATTTTTTTTCTATTTTAGACTTGGACTAAACGTCAAGTATATATTTTTTTCCTTACTCGAATTTCTATCTAAATAACACAGGTCCTACAATTTTTTTTTTTTTGCTTTCTGTTTGTAGGTAATACATTTAAAAAGCTTTAATAAAATGTCGTCGATTTATTATTTATAACCAAATTCAATTCTACTGACAGTATTTAATTGCACTATAAATATTGCTATTGCACGCGTCCTCGTGATATTCTTTGGCATCATTGTTTATAGATTATTATATAATAAATATCAGGTATTATTATTTGTATAATAATATTCTAATTTTCAGGATGTTATCATTAGGATCCTTCTTCTGATTCTTTCGTTTCTTTTTATATTATATATTAATAGTCTTTATTATATAACTTGATGTGCATATCATGTCGTATTTAATGCAAAAAAAAATTTTTTTTTAATATTGAAAAAAAAATTATTTTTTTTTGCATAGAAGTCAGTAAAAAACAAAAGTCAAATTAAAGTTCAAAGTCACAATAATGTGACTTTGAAAGTCAAAGTGATAATTAAAATCAAAGTAAATGTTAAAGTCAAAGTGAAAATTAAAGTGAAAGTGAATGTCAAAGTCAAAGTGATAATCGCAACCCGGGGCTTAACACAGTTTTTCTAAGGATATCAAATTGAGACAGAAAACGAATGAAAAATGTTGCGAAGCAACGTTTTTGATTTGTTTTTTTGTCTCAATTTGATATCCTTAGAAAAACTGTAAAAATAAAACATAATTTTTACAGTGTAAAGATTATATTATATTGATAATATAACATTAAAAACAGTAATGCAAATTACGTCACATAAAAATTAAAAATGAATACATTTTTTTTTGTTTGAAATATAAGAAAAACGCTATTTTTCTTCACTATTATGCAAATAGACGTGAAATTATTATTAATATGAATAAATTCATGAACTTCTATATATAAGTGTTTTTTTCTTCACGACTCTATAATATGCAATTATCAAGTTATATTTTATATGATTTTTTTTTCTATATATATTTATAAGAAGAATTTTCAAGCCAGTTAATTTCCTTTCACGGCAATAAGTTTCATTCAAATTCTGCGTGGAGTCACAAAGGTTTCGCTCGAGGGACGAAATTATTCCGCGAGGAATGCTGATTTTACTCTCACGGTTTTATTCAAACAAAGCATATCGCGTCTGAGTGAGTTCCACCAACTTATTCTTTCAAACACTTCTTTTTTTTTATCTACCTTATACACAAAAAAAAGAAGAAAAAGAAAAGAAAGAAAAAGAATATATATAAGTTAGGAAATACGCATCAGTTATTATATAAAAGACTCGTGTCTTTCCTCAAAAATTTCATCTCCTCTACATTTATAGCTTCATTATTATATTCCGCTGAAAAGTGATATATATATATATAGATTCCATTAGAAAGATGCGTCCTAAATAAGCCAAAAATTTTGTTTTCTTTCATATATTTAATAGGGGACGGCAAAAAAAAATTTGAATAAAGTTTAATTATTATTTTTGTTCTTTATGTTAATATCTGTACTACTGTTTGTATTTTCTGCGTATTTCTTATACAGTAGACTCTCGATAAATTGAATCCGAAGGGACGTAAAAAAATTCTTTACTAAATTTCATATTATTTTTTCACTATTTAGTATTTTCTATGCCAAAATTTCCGTTTGTTGCACTTTTTCCCCAAATTGTAAAATACTTTAACAAAATGTAATATATTATTTTCTCTCCGTGTATCAAAATTTTTTTTAAAGACGAAAAATGAAATTCAATTTAGTTTAATTATCGAGAGATCACTGTTAAAAATAAGTCTTATTTTAAGCCTAGTTTTAACTAAAACAACTATAACATTAGTCCAAATATTTACTAAATTTCTTATTATAGAAAACTGATTTTAAGACCTTAAATTGTCTTAATTTTTAATTTGAGCCAAAAAATGAGTTGAATTTAGAAAAAAACAGTACGTTTAAGTTATGTAAATAATTTGAGACTTTGTTTTTACAGTGATGACTGTATTACAATTTTTACTATTTTTCGGAGCAAACTTTACCATGCCCGATGTAAATTTTAGTAAAATTTTAATAAAATGTTTATTATACTGCAGGGAAAATGAAGTACATACAGAAATACGCAAAAAATACAGAAAGTGTATGGTAAAAGTTACTTTATACTTTTCTTGCCGTGCTGGAAAAAAGTTTTAGTTTAAGATTAGTCAGAAATTCAGCAAAGGCTGTCCTAAGAATTTGGATCTTAAACTAAGACTTCCTGACTTAAAATATAAAAACTTTCTTTTTACTGCGAATAAAAAGCTTCTGAATGTATAACCTTTGAAAAATTAATTTGAACCAGTGTTTTCAGTAATAAAAATAGCAATAGCAATAGTAATAATAATAAATTTAATAATAATAATAATAATAATAATAATAATAATAATAATATTATTAATAATAATAATAATAGCAATAATAGCAATAATAATAATTTAAAAATAATATAATTTTAATAATAATAATATTAATAATAATAATAATATATTAATTTTAATATATTAATTATAATATACTAATAATAATATATTAATTTTAATATATTAACTATAATATATTAATTATAAAATATTTATAATAATAATATTAAAAATAAAAATAATGTTAACAATAATAAAAAATTTCGATAGTAATCTATTTTTGCCATACTCGTGATTGAAGTATAATCTATACATAAATTTTTTTTTCCTCGTAATTTTATAATTATGCGGGAGTTGAACTATAATCAAAAGCGTTATATGAATGCGAAAAGAGTGGAAAAAAAAGAAAAAGAAAAAAAAACAGTAGTGTAGGTGTTGTGGAACGTTGACGGGCAGGAATAATTGGAGGAAATTGCGATGAATTGGCATGGAGGGATGAAAATAGAAGGGATGAATATAAAGGTAGATGAAAAAGGGGCTGAGGAGAAAATCGAGGTGAATGAATGAGAGAGAAAAAGAGAGAGAGAGAGATGTATACAGGAGAAAAAAAGAGTGTAGAAGTAGGGAGCGCGATGAGTATGATAAACATTGATAGGGATATACGAGAGGGTGTCGAGAGTCGAGTGATCACTGAAATACCGGAAAATAAATGAATTTAATTAGAATAAATTTTAATGCTCAATTCAAAGGGAACACAGTTTAAAACAAATTGCTTTTCATAAAAAAAGCAGTGTATATGAATAACACGTGTAAAAAGGAACGATAACATATTTCATGCGGTAATTATAGGAATGACAAAAATATACCTGCGAAAGTTCTAAATCTACATTTGCCGAAAGTCATCCGTTCGTTTATAATTTTTTCTAAAATATGATAAATTAAATTTCACAAACAATTTTAAAGAAATAAATTAATATTGTTGTGTTTGAATCTGTTTGCAGTTTGAAGTTATTTTTTGTTTGCTTCTCAACCTTTTTAATAAATCTTTTTAAATGTTTTGAATTTTAAAATTAATGCATTCAACACTATTCTAAAATCTTGAAAAGTTTTTAAAATGGCTCTTGAATAAAAAGAACAGTATACTAATAATACACTGTAAAAAATTTAGAGAGGACGGTCACTAAAAGTTGGGATGAAATTTTTCCAGATAAAAATCAGCTCCAAAAGGAAGTTAATTATTAAATTAACTCCCTTCTAGAGTTGATTCTTATTTTTACTGCAGTGTAAATTTTAACTCTCTTCGCTTTAACTTTCAAATGGTTGCGACTTTTATTGAATCCCCTGGGGAGTTAAAATTTAACTCCCTTTTTTTTACAGTGTAACAGATTTTCTGTGGATTTCAAATTGAGACAAAAAGCGAATCAAAAAAGTTGCTTCGCAACACTTTTCATTCGCTTATTTTGTCTCAATTTGATATCTGCAGAAAAATGATGATGCTGTGTATAACTAAAATTTGCTAAATTCTTCACTGTACGAGAAAATAAATTTAGTATTTTGCAATAAATATGATACTTCAATCAGAATATGCATCGACAGATGATTATCATAAAATTATGAAAATTGGTAAACATTTTTGGGAAATGTATATAAGAAACTTTTTTTCTAAATGTTTTCTTAAAAAAAGAAAAAGAAACATAATTTCTAGAAAGAATCTTAAGAAGGACGATTGGAGACATTAAAAAATCCTGCTCTTTGATTTCTATATTGGGACGCGACCACAGCTTGTGGATTTGGTATATGCCTTATGCCTAAGTTTGGTCTGATTTTCATACCGAATCCGCTGATCCTCTGATGTGGTTGAGGTATCCTTAAGGCAACTTTACTGCCAACGTTCATACTGCCAGTAATGATGGTTTCCGAGGTTGTTGACTTTGTCGAAGCAGTAGTAGCACCACCACCACCACCACAATCGCTCAGCAAGGAAACTGCGGCATCGGACAATGTTCGCAAATTCAAATCCTGCGACTTCCGTTGTTGTTGTTGATGATGATGTTCATCCTTTGATTTTGCCGAAATCCCTATTGCACTGATCCTCGATTCATTGCTATTTATTTTATTATTTTTTCCCTTACTACTACCGCCTGGATTTGGAGATAAATCTAAAATATTATTGCCAATTTTGATACTATTATTGGCAGCACTACTGCCACTACCACCACTACCACTACTGCTACTTAAGTCTAGAGGGATTTCACACTTTTGCGTAAATGAATTTGATGATGAATAGGCGATATTATTATTGGTTCTCTTTGTCGAGCGTAATGGCGCAAGTGGTGGGGGACCCTTTCGTTTGATATTATTCCCCACTGTATTATTTGTGTTTCCTCCTGTTTTATCTTTTGAATTCGACATCATACTCTTGAGGGCATCGCGCATTTGTTTTTCAGCTAAAAGACTCCGCACTCGGTTCGCTTTACTCTCTCTCAATTGTTGTTCAAGTTTCTCTCGATTAAGAGACTCTTCCTTCTCGTTGTTCTGCGAAATCTTCATCTTATCCCGATGCGTCTTGTTCGTCTCGTTGATTGCCACGAGGCCGAGTCGTCGAAGTACTTCCTCATCTTTTGGTTTATCTTCATCGATTGTTGATTGTTCGTTATTTGTTTCATTCTTTTCGATTGCTATAACTTCTGGGTGGGCAGCAACTGTTGTTGTTGTTGTTTTTGTTTGAGAATTGATATTTTGAGCAATCTTGACAATCTCGTCGGGTATGCCGTCAATTATTTCTTCGATTGATTCTTCAGTTTTTTGAGTATCCTTGGTTGTTGTTGTTGTTGTTGTATTCTCGGGGATAGTGTTATCGTCGCGAGTTGAATTGTTACGCTGTTTGTTGGATGTAGTCTTAATTTTCTCTCTTCTGACAGCCCTCATTTGAAGAAGTTTCTCTTTGGTTTGATTATTTGTGCTCGAAGTGATTCTTGGTGGACATGGTGTTAGTCTGACTTTGAGTTTGAGTAAATCCTCCCTTGGAGTTGTTGTGATCTCGGCTATTACACGTTTGTTTCTTCGTTTTCTTCGTTTGTGATGCTCGAGCTTAGCGACCTTGTCCGGTTTGGGGGCATTGTCGGTTGGAAGATGGTTGTTGTTGTTGTTGTTGATGTTGTTTCCCGGCGGATCGGGCGCCCTCATCACTGGTGTAACTTCACAGCGTGGCTTTTTTACCTCCGGCTCCTTTACACACTCGACGTTCGTTGAAGTATGTGATCGACCTTTCTCTAGTGGGAGGGACGCGTCGGTATGCGAGATTGGCTTTGGACTAGGCGGTGGAGTAGGCGGCCTCTGTATATTCTCTATCACCTCAGTCGACTCCTTATTACTGGCTTCTTCCCCACAAGAAGTCGCTATCTGGACCTGATCCGACTCTTCTTTTGATACGAAACAATAGTACAGTTTCATGGGTGATTCCTGGAACAGAAATGTTATCCGATCCATGACGACGTGTACCCGACTCTCTTACCTTACCCTTGTTTGCATTTACAAACAAAAGTGTCTCAGGGTTGCCACAAAAATATATAAGTTTATTTTTCCCTAACTTTTCGCTGATTTTTAGACCTTTTTCATATTCGACAATTTATAAAAATATTATTATAAAACAATATGACTGAGTGATAAAATCTTTATTTTAGAAGAACATTGTTACTCTCTTAATTTGAATCAGTTAAAAATCATCGTTTTAACTGACAATCAGTGATTGACTTTTTGCTTCTGAATCAGTTAAAAACAACTGATTTTCAGTAAAAGAAAATAACGGAAAGATTAGTTAAACTAAATGTCAGTAGAAATATTACTAGGATTTCAATAATTAGTGACTTACCTTTTACTTCTAAATCTAAATGAACTTCTTAGCGCATAATAGCAGTTTGTTATTTAAATTATAAAATAAATTCTTTTATATAATTATTTACACACTATATAGGTATCAATGATACTAGATTAAGTAACAAATAAATAATTATTTATTATTTTTAAGTGATGTAACAATTTAAAAGATTTTGCTCGCTGCACACTTTGGGTCAATCAAATGAATGTTTTTTCAAACAGTGCGAAGGGGTTAACTGATTCAAATTTAGAGAGTACTGTAACATCTTCAAAATTATTCTCATCATTTAAGTTCAATTATTTTTTTTCTTGCATTTTAAACTAAAATTCTTCTTTAAAACCAATTATTTTTAATAATTTCTAAAAATTTTACGAAATTTCATGGATTAATCGAAAATTCTTCAATTGTATATTAGAAAATAAAAACTTGTAATAATTTCACCAAAAATTCAATTAAACTTTTTCAAAAACAATTATTTCTACAGAAATGTTAGGGTTAAAAGTGTAAAAAATTCAAATTTTCAAAGATTTTAACTTAAAAACCTCTTCAAAATTGAATTATTTCTAAAAATTCATGTTCATAATTTAATATTCAATTATTATCTAAAATTTTAATTGAAAGTCATTTTTAAATCACTTTTTGTTAGAAAATTCTACGAGAATTCAATTATTTAAGTGCATACAAAAATAAATAATTTATTGAATAATTGAATATTTCTTAAAATTGAATTGTAATAGAAAATTGTATGGAATAATTTTTAAAGAAGCGAATTTTTTTGACAAATTTGAATAAAGTTTTAAGAATAATTACAGTTTTCGAGGAATATTCGATAAAAAATTATATTAAAACTAATTAAAATTCTGCAATAAGTTTTATTATTTATGAAAATAATTAAATGTTTGGGTAGAACTTTATTAAATTCTTTTTAAATAATTGAATTCTTTCGGAAAACTTTATTAAAATATAGTATAGCGATATATTAAAAATCATTGAATTGAGTGAAATTTTTGACAATGATAGAAATTTTGCCAAGAGTTTTGTTAAAATTTTTTTTTAAAAAATTGCGAATTGTGGACAAGAATTTTATTATTTATAAAAACAATTAAATTTTTACGCAGAATTTTTTATTTTGGAAAATAATTGAATTTCTGCAATCATTTATGTAACTTATCCAAAATTCAATATTTTTAGCTTGTTTTTAACTAAAGTTCTTCTATTAATCCATTATTTTTAAGAATTAATTAAGTATGTAGTATTAAAAAATTTAAATTAATTTCCGAAGAATTTGAATTATTAAAATTTTTTTTTTAAATCTAAGTAATTGGAGCAGTATTACAATGGTTCGAAAAGTCTGTTTCAGCATGCAAGAATTATAAAGTTGCATAAACCGTGTCGATAAGAAGCAAAAATTTTGACCCTATTCGATATATTTATTGTCTTCTATACCTGATCAGATATACTTTTTTTGGCTGAGGATCTTATTTCTGATTTGCATATAACACTCTTGAGATTTCTTTCCGGGAATGACAGAATAGAATGCGGAAAAATGTTAGGGACCACTAGGGGAAAAGGGAAAAAAAACTTAGGGTTTATTAAAAACTAATTCATTATCATTTTAAAATACATGTTGTACTATACTACATTTTTGTGATAGAAGCTTTTAAGCTTCTGTCAAAGCTTTTAGTAGTAGATAGAAGCTTTCTAGTACCCAATTTTTCTACGGATATTAAATTGAGCCAAAAAGCGAATCGATAGTGTTGCGAAGCAACGTTTTGAATCATTTTGTTGTCTCAATTTGATATCCGCAGAAAAACTGTGTCGTAGATAGAAACTTAAAAGCTTTCTAGTAGTAGTACTATAAAAAAATAATAAAAAGTAACATTAAGAAGTAGTATCTTAAAAAGTACTTCGCACTATTAAGTTGATTTATCGTACACGACTTACAGAAATACAGTTGAAGGAAGTAGAAATTGATAAAATATTCCTCGCACGTTATAAAGTAATATAAAAATACTTACATTTTTCCATTCAAAAATGCAAGCAAGATCCAAGAGGGTCCATGATGTTTCAAGTATTTGCAACCGGCTTTCCGTTTCGCTTTCATCCACCTCGTACATAATCTCTATTCGATGGCAGGTTGGAGAAGTTCCATCGACATCGTCCCATCCCCTCTTGAGCATTAGTAGTCGCTGGAGATGTCTCACCGTCACGCCAGCTGGGCATTTCAAATAGCGTGTCTTGCCGGTTATTTCGTAAAACGTCTTATTTTTGAAGAGTCTCGTATTATTACTGCTATTGCTATTGCTATTGCTCTTCTCCTTTCCCCGCTTCAATTTAATACTGTCGTCTATCGATGTGACTTTGCCAATTTCAGAAATACTCAAACTCACTGGATCGTCGTACGTCAATTCAGGTGAGCCTAGTGGTGGTAGTAGTGGTGTGCATTGGGGATTGACGATGCGAAAGTGTCGTCTCTTTTCTGATTCCGATCGAAATAGACCAGGAACAATGAGGTAGACTAATCGTTGCAGCCTTATATCGGAGAAGAGTGGGGGTAAGGTGGGTACATTGCAGACAGGGCAGGCTCTAACTCCGTTACTCAGTCGTCTCACTATGCAGCCTCTGCAAACTGAAGAGCAAACGCGATATCGTTTCGAAGCTGCACTTATTCTTTCTTTTTGCACACTACATCTCTATATATATCAAAGCATTACTATTAAAAATTCGGAAATGTTTTTTTATTCCTCAAGCTTTGTTATAACTTGAGTTACTCTCTAAATCTGAATTAGTAAGTTTCTACTAATGAAATTTAGTATGCTGATTCGTTTACCAATTTGAATTAGTAACAGTTTTTACAAATCTTTAGTAGTTTTTTACAAATTGCTAGTAGAAAACTACTAAATTCATTAGCAAGTTGGCTTACTAATTTGAAATAGTAAGAATTACCTCTATACGACTTACTGATTGAATTAGTATTTTTCTATTATTAGCAATTATTAAACAAAACTACTAAAAATTAGTAAAAAATGTTACTAATTCAAATTGGTAAACGAATCTGCAATATTTCATTAGGAGAAATTAATAATTCAGATTTAGAGAGTAAAGTTAAAGTATGCTAACTTTAACTGTCTGTTAACAAACATAAATATAAAGCAGGGTTGCCACAGGTCAGGGAATCCAGGGAAAAAGCAGGGGAAAGTAAAATTGATTAAGAGAATAGTCAGGGATTTTTATTAAAAGTAATGAAAAAGTTAAATTTTTAGAATTCATAAGAAAATTCTGAATTTTATTGTCTATTTTATTTGGTTCAAAACTATGAAATTATCACGAATTTTAATATAAAACCTTCAATTTCTTTTCTATTTCTGACAATAATTTCTTTGTACTCTCTAAATTTGAAGCAATTAAAAATAACAGATTTAGAAGCAAAAAGTCAGTCACTATTTCAAATTGTAATATTTCTACTGACAAATAGTTAAAAATAACTAATGTTGCAGTAAATTTTTATTTTTTGACTCATTAAATTAGACAAGTTTAACTAATTTTTCAGTTTTTTTTTTTTTAACTGAAAATCAGTTGATGATGAAACCTTCAAAAGATTTTAATTTGAAACTTTATAAAATTTTAATTTTAAATGAATTTAATTTGAAATTTTTAACAACTATAGATTTTTGGAAAATTTTAATAATTCAAATTCTTCTGAAATTATAGTTAATATTTTAATACAAATTTAATATTATTTCAAAAATTTTAACGCAATTCTTCTGAAGAATTATATTGAATTATTTAGAAGAATATTGATAAATATCAGAATTTTTTTCCAAAAATTCAATTATTTTCAGGAATTTTCGTAAAATTCTTTGCAAAATTTAATTATTTTCATAAATTATACAATATTCATCACAAGAATTCAATTATTTTCAAAAGTAATAAAATTCTTCACAGGAATTCAATTATTTTCAAAAATGTTTTCAAATTCTAGGCATGATTTCAATTATTTTTACAAATAAGCAAAATTCATCCAAGTAATTCAATTATTTTCAGGAATTTTCGTAAAATTCTTTGTTAAATTCAATTATTTTCAAATGTAATAAAATTTTTATCAGAAATTCAAATATTTTCAAAGATTTAAAAAAAAATTCTCGTCATATGATTTCAATTATTATTATTATAAATAGCAAAATAATCAATTATTTAAAAAAAAATTGATAAAATTTTTCGCAGACATTTAATTATTTTATAAATAATAAAAATTGCACGGGAAATACAATTGTTTAAAGAAGAATTGGTATATAAAGTTTTTCCAAACAGTCAATTATTTAAAAATTGTTTATAAAATTCTTCGAAATAATTGAATTATTTTTATAAATAATAATGATATTATTTTTTGGAAGTCAATTATTTTTGTAAATACAGTGAAACCTCGATTATCCGAACTAACGTAGGCAAGGCTAGGTTCGGATAATAGAGATTCTAATTTTTTTCATAATTAAAGTAAAAAAATGGATAGTTGGACTATATATATTTAATTTAATACTTTTTTTTAAATATGCATAAGTATATATACGTAAATATATATTAATTATTAATAATATACTAATAAAACAGAGAATTCAGAATTTTTTAAATATTTTTTTGGCATAAATTTTGCTATTTTGGTTTGAAAGATTCGGAAGGCCAAAAAAAAGTTCGGATAACAGAAGTTCGGATAAAATGATTTTCGGTTCGGATAATCGAGGTTCCACTGTAATAAAATTCATCGCAGAATTTTATTTAGTTTTAATAAAATTTTAAAAAAATGTAATTATTCTTAAAAATTTTATTAAAATACGTCAAAAGAATTCAATTATTCAAAAATTTGTTGATAAAATTTTTTATGAAATTAAATTTTAAAAAACATTTAATTATTCAATAAAATGTTTATTTTTGTCGTTGAATAATTGAATTCTCCTAGAATTTTTTAATAAACAGTTATTTAAAAATGAATTTTAGTTAAAATTTTAGATAATTGAATATATCAAAAGCACGAATTTTTAGAAATAATTAAATTTTGAAAAGGTTTCAAAATAAAATCTTTGAAAATTTGAATTTTTCCTACTTTTAACCAACAATTTTGTAAAATAAATTTTTTTGAACTTATATTTGAAGTTTTTATTTTCTAATATACAATTGAAAAATTTACGAATAATTGAAATTTTGTAAAATTGAATTGTAAACAAATGAATTTGAAAATTCTCAACGAATTTTTTCAAAGATTATTAAAAATAATTGATTTAAAGAAGAATTTTAGTTAAAAATTCTAGAAAATAATAATTGAATTGAAATGATGAAAATAAGTATGAAGAAGTTACAGTAACAATATTCTTTAATATAAAATAATGATTTCATCATTCGGCCATCTTTAATTCTAATAAAAAATGAAGAAAGCGATTACTCCGAGTCGAAGACTCGGAGTAATCGATTTCTTCATTTTTTATAATAATATTCTTATAAATTGAATTTCAAAGAGGTTTGAATTTTAATGTTTTGAAAATTTTAATTCCTATACGGAAAAATAAAAATGAAGAAATATTCATTTATAAAAAGTCATTGATATTTTCGAATAATTTTACATTTAAAGAAATTGTCAAATAAATGTAATAGAAGTTTTCTTTAAGTCCAATTTTGAGAGTCCATTTTGAGAGTAAATCAGAATATTCTTTAGGATGAGGGAAAAAGTGAAAATTTTATCTGGAAATCAGGAAAAAGTGAGGGAAAAACAAAATTAAATTTTTAGGTGACAATCCTGACAAATGTTCCGAATTTTTAATAGATGCGGTAGTGCACCCCTAGAATTATTATTATGAATGCAGTGGTGATTATAAATATGGCTTAGTACAGATGATGAGAATGTAAATTCAACTCTAATCCTATTTAGATGCTGATAAAAAGAAACGCGCAGACTATATTATCGTATGTTGCGTATATATAGAGACACAAGTGCGCTGCTGCGGCTTTATTTTATCAGCATCAGAACAAAACATTAATTAGACAGAACACATGCAATGAGAATAATATGAATGAATCTACATCAGTGTTTTACCAACAGTTGCTTCTTATGTACTTTTTGCGCCACTCCTGCAGCTAATTTGCGCACTACACATGCAGAAGCAAAAGGGGCGCCAGACAAGTCGCATATATAGTATGAGCTATGGGGATGTATATGTACATATATATGAATTAATGGCAAATAATCCCAAGCAGTTTGTTTCTTTACTCCGGTATATTAAAATACTTTGCGGGTAAACTATATTATACAAAAAAATCATTATATTTGTTAATTTTTAGGTTTTTATTTACAAAATGGGTATACAGTATATAAATATTAGACATATATATACATTTAAAGCTTCTTTCAAAATCCCTCGTAAGGAAGCAAACAAATTATAATTAAAATATAAACCAACAACGTGCAAACCACTATAATGAAAGTAGTAAAACTAAAACTGCCTTGCACAGGGCTCGAACCATAGTGAAAGTATTTCAAAATACTGACTTTACGGACAAAAAAATGAAAAATTACGGACCATTTACCGATCAATTACTGACAAAAATATAACCACTTCGAGCCAAATAAGAGAACATTTTACTAAAAAACTATAAATTAAATTTTTCATAACATAAAATTTTAACTGTAATTTTTAAATCAATTTTTAATAGAAAATTCTACTAGAATTCAATTACTTAAACACAAAAATAAATAATTTATTTAATAATTGAATGTTTCTTAAAATTTAATTCCCATAAAGAATCGTTATCAAAAAATTTTTAAATAATTGAATTCTTTTCAAGAATTTTAATAAAATTTTTAAGAATAATTACATTTTTCGAGAAATTCAATTAAAATTGTATTAAAAATAAATAAAATAATTGAAATTCTGCGACGAGTTTTATTATTTTTGAAAATAATTGAATTTCTGCAATAATTTGTAATAACATTTCCAAAATTGAATTTTATTTTCGTGTTTTTAACTAAACATCTTCTATAAATCCATTATTTTTAATAATGTTTGAAAATCTTTAAGAATTTTCATATTCATCTGTTTACAATTCAATTTTACAAAATTTCAATTATTCGTAATTTCTTCAATTATAAATGTGACGCGATCTGAAGAAAGGGACCTTAGAAGCAAGAAATTATAGGTTATGTTTGCAATTTTTTAATTGAAAATACAAAAAAAGGATCAACTGTCAATATAAATCATTGAAGTTTAAGTCTTCATTAAAACTAAAATATTTAATAAACACTGATTTTAATTCGAAATAAGTAAAAAGAAACTTTCAAACAAGAAAAAAGTAACTCTAACCCAACCTTAAAATGATTTGCTTCTAAGGTCCCTTTCTTCAGATCGCGTCACAAATATATATATTAAAAAATAAAAACTATATAGAAATAAGTTTTTAAAAAATCCGCAATTAAAGTTTCACAAAAAAAAATTAATTCCACAGAATTGTTAGTTAAAAATATGAAAAATTCAAATTCACAAAAATTTTAATCTGAAACCTTTTCAAAATTCAATTATTTCTACAAAATTAACTCTCCTATAATGCTTTTAGTATTCAATTATAATTTAAAATTTTAACTGAAATCCATTTTTAAATCAACGTTTATGAGAAAATTTTACTGGAATTCAATTATTTAAAATTTAAATACAAAAATAACAATTTATTGAATAATTGCATGTTTCATAAAATTTAATTCTCATAAAGAATTTTGTCTATAAATTTTTAAATATCTGAATTCTTTTGACGAATTTTTATAAAAGTTTTTACGAATAATTTCATTTTTCGAGAAATTGGATGAAAAAATTGTATTAAAAATAATTGAAATTCTGTCAAGAATTTTATAAAAATTTTTGAAAATAATTGAATTTCGGGGAAAATTTTATTATTTATAAAGATAATTGAAATTTTGACTAGAATTCAATTATCAATGATTTCTAAAAATTCACGCTCTATAATGCTTTTAATATTCAATTATTATCTAAAATTTTAACTGAAATCCATTTTGAAATCAATTTTTATTAGAAAATTCTACTGGAATTCAATTATTTAAATACAAAAAAAAATCAATTTTTTGAAAAATAATTGCATGTTTCTTAAAATTTAATTCTCATAAAGAAAATTATTACAAAATTTTTAAATAATTGAATTCTTTTGACGAATTTTAATAAACGTTTTAAGAAAAATAACATTTTTTAAGGAATTCGATTTAAATTGTATTAAAAATAATTGAAATTCTGCAATGAGTTTTATTATTTTTTAAAATAATTGAATTTCTAAAAAGAATTTGATTATTTACCAAAATAATTGAATCCCCGTAGACATTTTATTATTTATGAAAGTAATTGAATGTTTGCGAAGAAATTTTTGAAAAAATTTGTAAATAATGAAATTTTTGTGCAATTTATATTATTCTTTAAAAATAATTAAATGTTTGTGTAGAATTTTATTAAATTTTTTTTAAATAATTGAATTCTTTTGGAAAATTTTATTAGAATAGTATTAGATACATATTAAAAATCATTAAATTGAGGAAAATTTTTGAAAATAATTGAAATTTTGACAAAAATTTTATAAAAACTTTTGAAAATAATTGAATTTCAGAGAAGAATAAATTTAATTATTTTTTAAGATAATTAAAAGTTTGACTAGAATTTTTGTGAACTTTTAAACAGAATTGGTTTCATAAAATTGATTCCTCTTATTAAGAATTTTATCCATCAATTTGTAAATAAATGAATTTCTTTTGTAAATTATTACAAAATTTTTAAAGAATTGAATTCTTTTGACGAATTTTGATAAACGTTTTAAGAATAATTGAATTTTTCGATGAATTGGATTAAAATTGTATTTAAAATAATTGTAATTCTGCAATGAGTTTTATTATTTATAAAAATAATTGAATTCCTAAAAAGAATGTTATTATTTACGAAAATAATTGAATCCCCTTAAAAATTTTATTTGAAATTAATGAAATTTCTGTGAAATTTTTATTATTTTATGAAAATAACTAATAGTTTGTGTAGAAATTTATTAAATTTTTTAAAAATAATTAATTGAATTCTTTTGGAAAATTTTATTAAAATCTTAGATATTGAAAATCATTAGGAATTGAGGAAAATTTTTGAAAATAATTGAAATTTTGCCAAAAATTGTATTAAAATTATTGAAAATAATTGAATTTCGGAGAAGAATTTAATTATTTCTGAAAATAATTGAAATTTTGACGAGAATTTTAAAAAAATTTTGAACATAATTGAATTTTTGCGAAGAATCTTATTAGTTTTGAAAATAATTGAATTTCTGTAATTATTTGTAATTTCTCGAAAATTCTCCAATTTATATCGTACGATTTACAAACTTTTCATCCGTTTTGAATCAAATTACGGACTTTTACGGACTTTTCAAGCAAAGTTACGGACTTTTACGGGATTTACGGACATAGTTCGAGCCCTGGCCTTGTAAAGTAAAAATATCTACAAATGGCACTTGTTTTAAGGCCGTTTTTCCCAGTTTCACAAGCTAGAATGAGAGTTATGGACCTTTTTATTTTGTGCGGCAGAAAAGTAGTGCTGATATTTGATAAGGACAACAACATAAATAAATAATTACAAAACACATTCGCATCAATGTATTTAAAGCTTATTCAGGTATAATGAGTGTTTGGTTTACTGGTGCATTGACCCTATATCTATTTTAATGATGCGATGAAGAAAAAGTACTAACAAGAATGTAGGCACTCAACGAGGGTCGTTGCATCTACGAAGTAGCCTCTACACAGGGGACATATGATATGTTCGTTTAAGTCCTTCACAAGCGGCTTTTCCCTCTCGTTTACATCCATATCTTCTTTTGGTCCTGGAAAAAATAAATGACACACATTGTCACCTTCAAAAGGTATTATGCAACATTCGAGAGAAATCTATTAAGCATTGTATATGAATCATTTTTCTTCTGTTCAAATTTTTCCACCCTTTTCGCAACTCAAAAAATTTATTTTGTTTTTCGTCTCAATTGTCTAAGGATAAAAATACTAAACAAAAAAAAGTATCAAAATTGTTGCAACAATTTTGATACTTTTTTTTGTCACTATTTGATATCTACAGAAAAACTGTCAAGAGCTTTCACAAGTGATATATTCCGTACATCTTGTATTCACTATTGCTAACTTGACGAGCATCTGCTTGAAGAATCGAGTGCATAAGTGAGAATTCACTCTCTCAGTCAGCTTATATTTGTGCAGACTCATCTAATTTATTGCAACAACATACGGATCATGAAGATACTGTCGTTTTAGTTGTAAATCTTGTTGAAATGCAGATTTCAGAGTGTATTCTTTTTGACTATGAATATTATGTTGTCTAAAAGTCAATCATTTTGATTTAAAAGGAAAACAAATTTTCAGTTTAATCGCAAAACAAGTGTGAAACGTGCAGTAAACAAGAATCTTGGATAGTTTACATTTTAAATTCAAGTAATAAATAATTCGCACAAGTTTGTTCTTGTCTAGAGGGAGTGCAACTTTGTTCACATCCTCACAGCTTCAAACATTGCGACTGGATTCAAGATTTTGTTCTTAGCGTAAAAAATTCAATCGGAAACATTTCTAAAACATTATAAGTTAGATCCTGTTTGTCGAATTACTTATTTAGTTACTTTACTTTGAGGTGCTGCATTTTTAAAAAAATTTGTTTTGGAGGAACATTATCTATATTGCTTTTATTTTTAACTTTGGATAGGTTTCTGAAGTTATTGGTCGACACTGAATGGCTAAAAACTAAAACCGTTTACATTTGAACCAATTTTAACTGAATTTTAGCCTTGAGGATATGATTTTAAGTCCTAAAGTTATGACATAACCCTTAGTTTTAAATTTAAAAATTGGCTATACTTTTCAATCATTTTGGTTTTAAGGAGTAATCGGTTGCAGACTTTATTTTTTCCATGCGACTAGAGCGGGAATCTTATATATATTTATAGATATTCACGCAATTGTGTTTATAAAATAGAAATTAATATGTTACTTAGAAAAATGAGTATATAGAATGTTTTAATAATCAATTACTAATAGTATATTTCAACCTCAGGTCATGTATTAGCAACTATTATACTTTAATTTATTCTGCATACTTGTTGAATTCATGAACGCTTATATATTTTGCTCAAAGTTTAGTTATAGTGTTCACTTTTCTTTTTATATATACAATTGGCTTTCACAAAGTTCGAAAATAGTTTTATACGCTTATATACATATCAGCAGATATACTTTAAGTAAACTTTAATGATGACAACTTTCTTTATAATTTCTCACTTGTCACATTACAAGAAAAGTGAAATGAAAACTTTTTGAAGATAGTTTAAAATTTCTAGAATGAACAACAGAAATAAATTTTGATTTAAATTCTCAAAATATCAACTTATACTCTTTAACTCTGAATAATACAAAAACAAAGTTTTAACTGATTCGAATCAAAACTTTATTGTGAAAAATAAGTCTTTAGCCCATTTTTGACTAAAACCTTTTACATTAGAACCATTTTTGACTGAATTTTAGACTTGAGAGGGTATAAATTTTTGTTAGGTCTAAAAATAATTTAATCTGGTTTTAAGAATAAAAATATAGGCTACTTTTCAATTATTTTGGTTTTAAGATGTAAACAGCTTTAAACTTCGTTTTTTCTGTGAATATTTTTTTATTTTTGATCATTTAAAAATGCCAATTAGATTAGATTACCGTAAAAAGAGTGTCTTATTTAAAAAATAGAGTCTGAAATATATTACAGACTTTCTTAAAATTATTGCATCTTAAATGCACCAAATTCTTAAAGGAACACTATATTAACTTTAATCAAATTCCAACGCAAATACCAAAAATGCAGATCAAGAAAAAAATTGATCTGAATTTTTGGTATCAATTTAATACGTTCAAGAAAACTGTGAAGTCTTACATTAAAACTTAACCTTTCTGCCTCCAAATAAGACTCTCTTTTTGCAGAACCCTTTTCGATTTTCACTTTTATTGATTCGTCACATCTGCTTTATCCACAGTTGATATTCAACTTGATCAATTTTTTTTTTAATTTTACTGATTATAAATAAAGAATTCACGCATATCAGTAAATTAATGTTTTACACTGCAATATTTAAGAATGTATAAATATTGTTAGAAGTATACACTGAAAAAAAAAGTTCATTGAATCAAGTAAATGCATTTTCTTGACCTGATTTACTTGAAACAAACCCATATTTTCTTATTGGAAGAAATTTATTTTCTTGTGTCAAGTAATTTTGAGCATTGATCAAAGTTATTGAAATAAGAAAATATGGGTTTGACATAAGTAAATATCTTACTGTTTCAAACGAACTGTTTTACATGCGCCAAGTCTCGAAAAAGTATTGAATCAAGAATATCATGTTCTCACGTCAAGTAATTTACCTTGAGTCATTTGGTATCTTGAGTCAAATCATTTTTTTATTTCCTTTAAAGCAACTATTTATTTCATCCAACACCCATAGTCTTGAGCCAAGAAAATGGGAAGATTAATACAAGTTAATAATTGTTTCAACTCAATTAAAAATTATTTTGTTTCAAAGAAATATTAATTAATCTAAGCATTTCTTTTACTTGAAGCATTTCTATATTCTCATGTTTCAAAATCATTAATTTCTTGCGAGAATGTTATATTTTCTGGAATGAAATATTTTATTTATTCAATTCAATTAAGTGTAAGATCTTAATATAAGTAAATATTTGTTTCAAGTCGATTAAAAATTATATTCAATTAATCCCATATTTATTTGAAGAAAGAAATTCATTTTCTTGTGTCAAGTAATTATTAGCATTGAACAGAATTCTTGAATTAAGAATGTAGTATTTGGCGGAACTAAATATGTAATTATTTCAACCAAATATTTTACTTTTCCGAAGTACCAAAAAGTATTGAATCTAGAATATATGTTCTTAAGCGAAATAATAAAGTATTGTCTGGAGAATTCATGTTTCTTGAATCGAATCATTTTATTTATTTGCTTTGAAACTTTTTTTTACTTAACACAATGCCGGTGTTCTTGATCCAAGAAAATATTTTTCTTCAAATGTATATGCAACTTAAATATCAGTTTTTGAAAACTGTCCATTGAGGCTAGGATGGCATAGTGGTAGCGTGACGGCTTCTGGTGCGTGCAACCCGAGTTCAATTCCTCCGACCGTGGAAAATTTTCTTTCAAGGTATATTTGTTGTATTTGTGTTAAGTATTAATTAAATGTAAATATATATGTAAAATAATAATTATTTAATTATTTAAATAAAAAATATAAATGTTAATTAATTAAATAATAAAAATGTTTGACCTAAGTATTAGAAAAGATGGAATGGAGGTAAGGGGGGGGGGGGTAATTTAAGTAAATAATTTACTTGTATTGAGAAAGTATTTTTTTGATTGAAAACTATAAATTTTCTCAAATCAAGAAAATATTTTCTCGGACAGAGAACATACTTTCTTGATTTGATACATAAATGATTTTGAATTAATATATTCTGCATTTCTTACATGCTACTTAATTTCTTGGTAGAATTCCATATTTTCTTGGATCAAGAATATCTGTTCTTCTCACAAAATAAATGTTTTCTTCATTTAATCTTGAATTACTTGAACGAACGTTACAAAACATTGAATGAATTGAATAAAATAATTCAATCATCTATATATATTCTTAGAACAAGAAAATATTTTATTCATTTAATACATTTTATATTTCGTATAAGAAGATTAACTTCTTGGTCGAATTCCATATTTTCTTGGATCAAGAATATATGTTCTTCTCCCAAATATCCTATGTCAAGAAAATCGTTTTCTTGAATCAATACTTTAATAGTCTTGGCCGTATTCAATCCCACGATTTTCTTCAACCAAGAAAAATTTTCTTGGTTCAATACTTTTTTTTTTTCAGTGTAGTATAATTTTTGTCAAATCATGTTCAAAGTTTACGAAAAGTTTTTTTTCTAAAATCCTCTCATTACTGATGGTATCAATATTTTGTACGCTCACAAAAGAAATTGTATTATAAGAACCTAACTGAATAGGAGACCCAAATTGAATAATGAACATAGTGCGCATGCAGTGGAGAGTTTCTAACATTCAAGGTAAATTGGCACGTGCTATTCATTCATCCGGTTGTCATGAATACATTTATACCTGCTTTTAAAATCCAAAATAGTGAACATTTCTTTTTCAGAGATTTATGTTTTTAAATTGAAAAACATTTCTTTGCAAAAAAAAGTGAAAAAAATGTTGTAACAAACACTTAAATCAAAATTTTTTGCATCAATTTTATCCACTTTAGTATCAATTTGATATTTTCAAAAATACTATGTTGAAAGAGATTGTAACAAACTGTTGGGTTAGCAAAATGTTCGATTAACAAACTGTTTGGTTAACAAACTATTTAGTTAGCAAAATGTTTGGCTTGCAAACTATTTGGTTCACAATTTTTCTGCGGATATCAAATTGAGACAAAAAACGAATAAAAAATGTTGCTTCGCAACACTTTTGCTTCGTTTTTTGTCTCAATTTAATATCCGCAGAAAAACTATGTCAACAAAACATTTGGTTAACAAACTATTTGCTTAAGAAAACATTTGGTTGATCATCAATGTGGTTGACAAAATATTTGATTAGCGAAATATCTGGTTAACAAAATATTTGATGGGCAAACTATTTCATTAGCAAAACATTTGGTTAACGAAATATTTGATTAGCAAAATGTTTATTTAACAAAACATTTCATTGACAAACTATTTGCTTAACAAAATATTTAGTTAACAAGACATTTGATAGGCAAACTATTTCGTTAGCAAAACATTTGGTTAACAAAGAATTTGATCAACAAAATATTTGGTTAACAAACTATAATATGGTTAACTAAATGTTTGGTTAACAGAACAGTTGGTTAACAAACTGTTTGATTAACAAACCATTCGGTTAACAAAATATTTAATGATCAAACTATTTTGTTCGCAAAATATTAGGCCAACAAACTACTTGGTTAGCAAAATATTTGCTTAAACAGAAAAGGAACCGTACAATAAAACATTATTTCTGTCGCAATAAAATATTATGAAATTAGAATGCAAATGAAATGTTGAAAAATAATTTGTTTAGACCACAAAAAAATGGGTTAGTTTTGAAGAAAAGTGGAATAAGAGTTTTTCCCCTCGTGTATAATAGACACTGCTGTATAAGAATGAGAAAGAAACGTGGTACGTAATCCCATCGGTCAATGAACTAACCAATTTTTCTAGTGCACGCGAGATATCATGTTTGATCGTACTTGAAAAACGGAATAACAAGAGAATATTTAATGTCGTTCAAAGACTCACACGAGTTTGCCAAGATTTTAACATAAACGCCTTGAAATTTTTTTTTTCAAAGTGAACTTATGGATTCCTGGTACACATCGTGCATGTAGAATGCGCGTGCCAAGTTATTTCTCTCTTGTTGTCATTCCTGCACACGTTTCTCTCTCACTCACTCCACTCGCTCTTGTGACTCTGTAGGCGTAGTAGATGCTTAATAGTAGGTACAGATAGTCGCACACCACATGACATATTTGTCCATGAAAGAAGCAAATACGGCCTATAGAGGGACAACAACAACAGCAACAACAACAACAGATAATGCACGCAATCAGCAAGTTTGGCCCGCTCTCTACAGTCTTTGCCTTTCACGATCTGTATCATCACACAATGGCTTACCGGTGAGGTGAGAGGATAGACGTTGTTGGGCTGTCGAGCAGGCTGGCGAAGCAGACGTGGCAACGAGGTTCTTTCTTGGTTTGTATCGCTCGCCGGGATGCAATGCACGAGAGGTGGCAACACCGCCGCAACGTCGACCGCCTCAAGGCCCGCGATACGAAGCCCGTTGGTCGTTGCTGTTGCTGTTCGAATGCGATCCGATACCTGGCAAGGACGTACCATTACGTTCACGCTTCCCACGCACGAACTAACATCACGACAACGCGAGCCTGTCGGTGATACTTCGTATTTCCAAGTGGTACTACTGCTCTCTTCGTTTCCTTCACCGATCGCTCGCTCGCTCGCTCGCTCTTTCGCTCTTTCGTCGTACTCGTCACTTATGTTCTCAAAAACTGACAGTTTTCTCTATCGCCAATAAGTTAATTTATCAATGTACTTACGTGTATGCTTCGGCAATTATTTCTTATCAATAGAAAACAAGTAACAGTTACGCGAGTAGAGATAGTTTTCGGGTACAGTGCGATTGTACGACACTGTACGGAAACGAAGAGAAGACACGGTTGTCAGTATCGACCCCGCCTAAACCCCGCCTCGCTTTGCCGGAACCTCACGAGTGCTCACGAACAAGCTCGATCCTACTTTATGCTACGTTTTCTTCTTTCCACCTCTTTATTCCTCTTCTCTTCGTCCTTTTTCATCGGTTTTCGTCCCTTTGCCATCACCACAAGCTGCGTGTTAAATGTTTGCATTATGTCCTTGTCAGGTTGGTTCTTGGGGCATACCTTTAAACCTATTGACGGGTGTCCTGCTTGCGAATAAAGTCTCTCCCAATGGTTACAATTTGGGTTTACAGTTAACGAACTCTTGTATACCTTTAATAGCTTCTTACTATGTATGCGCACCTAGGAATCGTCGAGGACTTCCAAGGGATAAAGACCTACTTGCTGGGATTATCCCCAAATATGACCTTTCTGTTTTAGATATATAACCAACTGGGTCATATCTATAAAGTACCTTTGAGCAGTTCACTTGCATTTTATGAGGCTTTACCTCGTAAAATTCGAGTCAACTGCCTTTAAATTTATGTAAAAATCGGTATTTTCAAGAAGGTTTGCAGAGATCTGCAAATATTATGCACTGTAACAAAATTTGTTCTACTTGGGAGTGGTGAACTACTCTCGAATTATTATTATCAAAATTAGTAACAAGTGCGTTACATAATATACGAAAAAATATCTCAATTTCGGTTTGAAACACTTACACTCTTCAAATATCTTAATTTGAGATTAGAAAACTGATTTTAAGATTAGAAAGACTTTAAAGATCTTATATACTTTAACCCTCTGCTGATGCTAACGACCGTTATCGTCAAAAATCGTCATTTTGACGATAACGCCTGGAAACTTTGGGAGTTATGTTCCATGGCGATAGAGTGGGGAGAAGTTATATAGCATCAGCAGAATGATAATTTTAATTTTTAAGCCAAAAGATGCGTTGAATTTTGAACGAAAAACATTTAAACTGAAGGTATACTTCAAGACCTTTATTAGTATCGATTTCAATAATTTCTGTACCATTTGGTTCATTTGATTATAGAAGAGTTCAATATTGTGTAAAAATACCAAAATACTCTAACTGTTAACTTAATTGTTTCGTTGCATCAAAATCCAACGAATTGATGCCAAAAATGTGGATCAAATCAAAAAATTGATGTAAATTTTTGACATCAATTAGATTCACTTTAGTATCAATTTGATGTATGATATAACCCATTTTTCCAACATATCTTTCTTGAAAACATATACTTTCAAGAAAACTGTTTTGGAAAAGGAAAAATACATTTCGATAATTTCTGTATACCTTTTTATTGGTTCATTTATCTATATACAGCAGAGTAATATATTAGAAAAATTAATGCACCGGATAAAATATATTTACAAAACAGAAAAAATGGAAAAGTGCACTACCTTCATTAGCAGAGTTGTTAAAAATCATGATTTTTTCAAAAAGATTGAAAGAAATCGGATTTTTTTTTTATTTAAATCAAATTTTTCTGGAGCTTGCGGTTCTTTAGTAACGATAATAAAACATTAATTTTGTAATAGAAGCAACAAAGAATAGCTACTCTTATTTTGCTTAAGAAACTGTTTAACCGAACATGTTGAAAAAATATATATGCGACTACAAAACTGCTTAACATTTCAAATAAAACTGTTTGAAAGTTTAAACGAAACTGGTAGGAATTTCAAACAAAACTATTTGACATTTTCAACAGCATTGTTTGAAAATTCAAATAACAAAATTATTTGAAGTTTTAAACATAACTGTTTGAAAATTTAAACATAAGTGTTTGAAAATTTAAACGGAACTGTTTGACATTTCAAACGGAACTGCGTTTGTCATTTCAAACGGAACTGTTTGACACTTGAAACAAAACTGTTTGAAACATTTTGTATTAATTTGCAAAAAAATATTCTGGAAATTTGAAAGAAATGTGTTCTAAATTTTAACAGAGCTGTTAAAAGTCATGATTAAAAAAAACCCAATTTTTTTATTTAAATCAAATTTTTTCCGAAGCTTCAGTTTTTAGTAATATAAGTTTTTTATTGTTTGAATTTAAAACTTTAAACAAAATTACTTAGTATAGAAGGATAAAGAGTTTCATTTTAAACAATTAAAAGTTGCATTTGAATAAAAATTACAATTTTTTGTCAATGAGAGGTATTTGTTAAATATATTTTGATACGTTACTCAAATCGTTTCTTGTTCATAGAATATTGTATAATTTTTATTCAAATGTAACTTTTAATTGTTCAAAATGTTGAAAATTTAATTCTTCATGCTTCCACAAAACCGAATTTAAAATTTATTAATTTATCTTTTTCATGTAAAATACGAAATCATGCAATTGAACTAACATTTTGTTATAGAGAAGTTACCAATGTTTTCATTAACGCAAAAAGTGAAATTTCTTTTTTTAAGACCAAGAGCAAATTATTATTTTTATTGAGTCCTAAACAGATTTTCAATCCAATCGGAGTGGGAAAGACGATATTTAATGAAAAATTTAAGCTTTTTTTCATTTCGTCATAGACATAAACATTATGGTAACTTTAATTTCATTTTTTTTCGATTCTTTCAAATTCTTTGTTGAATTATTATTCCTTAACTCAAAGTTGATTAGAAAACCTATTTTTAATTAAAAATTTGATTTAAGCCACGAATAAAATATAAAAATGTCTTTGATTTAAATCCTAATTAAAATCATGATGTAAATCAAGTTCGCGGAGAAAAATATAAAGTAACTTTTCTACTTTCATAGTAAAACATTTCTGATGGTAACTTTTACGACTTTCGGAGTAAATTTTCTACGTTCGAAGTAAATTTTACTAATTGTTTACAAATATGTTCTTTAAACGTAGTAAAATTTAGTTCGAACATAGCAAAATTTATTAAAGTATTAAAAGTTACCAGAAATGTTTTACTATATGAAAGTAGTATCGGTTACTTTATATTTTTCTCCATGTTGATTTAAGTCATAACAGCTCCTGTTTCGAAAACTGAAAATCTGAACGAAAAATACAGTATTACCTTCATTATATTATCGATTTTAATAATTTCAGCACCGCTTGGTTCATTTGCCCTTACACAATTTTTTTGCAGAAATGAAATTGAGACAAAAAACGTAATAAAATTTTAGCAATAGTTTTTTTGCGGATATCAAATTGAGACCAAAAACGTAACAAAATTGTTGCAATAGTTTTTCTGTGGATATAAAATTGAGACGATAAAACGTATCAAAATTGTAATAGTTTTTGTGCAGATATCAAATTGAGCCAAAACACGTATCAAAATTGTTGCATAGCAACAATTTTGCTACGTTTTTTGTCTCAATTTGATATCTGCACAAAAACTATTTGTAGCATATAGAGTAATATAATGGTGCAGTGTCCCAGTTTTTTTTTCAAACAGTGTATACACGTTGAAGAAATTTATCTGAAAGTTAGTGACATAATTAAAGCTATTTATGTCGAGTATTATATTACTGTTTAGCTACTCTGATGGCATACGCATATAGCATGACGTCAGATTATGTGACCACTCTATGATTATTATGTATTTTGTGCTTTGCATAACAACCTTTTGTTAGATGTTTCATAGTCGCGTATCCGTTTATAAAAATTTAGTCGCAGTGTAACCCTATACAACACAAGAAAAAGGAATGGAATTATTTACGCTCTTGATCTAGGAGAATTGGGAAACGTTGATAGGTTGGAATATACGCCGAATGGCGAATGAGATTCGTTGTACATTAGGAACATGCGCGCGGTTTCATTGTCTAGCTTCACTGCGACTTCCTGCTCGGATGTACTTGAGGATAAAAATAAGGGCATAGCATCATCTTGAAAGACGTAGGATTTGTCAATAGTGGCTTTATTAAGATGTTTCGGTGTAGTTATTTTGAAGGTGTTTCGATAGTTATTTTAAAGATGTTTGGATAGTAGCTTCTTAATTTTTTAGAGAAAATGATAATCAATCACCATCTTAGATATCTGTTCCTGTCACAGTTTTCTTGAAAGAATCAAATTGATAATAAAGGGCAAATTAATTTGATGTCGAAAATTTGGATTCATTTTTTATTAATAAATCTTATTTTCAATTTTTGGCTGCAACCGTTTACCTTAGAGCCATTTTTGACTGAATCTTAGCCTTGAGAGTGTTATTTTGAGTCCTAACGTATAGTTTTAAATTCAAACATAAGAATATATTTTTAAAGTACATAGGCTACTTTTCAATAATTTTATAATTTTAAGACGTAAATGGATTTAGGCTTTGTTTTTTCTGTATGTAATGCACGTTGTAGTCAAAGATATACAGAAAAAAGAGATAAGAAAAAGAAAATTTAATTGCAACCTGTTAATGCACATGTGACTGATTAGTGTCAAATCTCTGGAAATTAACTGCGCTAAAATGTTTATACAAAGGCAGTAGCGAACTATTTTGCTGTGACAAGCGACATCTCAGGAAAAATTCAAGGAAATTCGCTGTCATAGCAAACTTCTTTGATCACACGGCAAACTTGTTAGCTGCTTCTATTTTAACCAACAAAGTATGCTGTGGCAGCGAAACACCTAAAATTCTTCTACACTAATAGAAATACTTTCCAAATGGCAACTGCATGAACTAAATAAGAAGCAAATTATGCAAGATGATGAGATGAAGTATCAAAATTATTATAACAGTGTAGCAGTAAAAATAAAGCCGCATTTTTCGAAATGAATCACTGTGGCACTAAAAAGGAAATCAAAAAAGGATTGTAGGTCAAAAGTTCCAAACCAAATGTTCCAATCGAAAAGTTCCAAAATACAGAAAGACCAAAATAAAAATGGACCAAAAGACAAAAGTTCCAAAATAAAAAAGTAAGCAAACTTCCAAGAATTTACATGGAGAAAAAGGATTGTTACGTTGACAAAAAGATTGTTAATACAGAACTAACAAATTTATTTTGTTGTCCTAATAATTCAAATTTTTTCTAAGAACAACAAACGAAATTTGTTAGTTCTATATTAATAATTCTATTTTCTCTGTGTACTTGCGCAAAGTTTAGTGAAAATTGTGTAAAGATTTAAATGTCCCACACTTCAATAAATGTTTATCGTCAAACCTTTCTGAAAATTTATCTTGACACTTTCCTGAACAT